TGTATACACACACACACATATATATATATATATATATATATATATAATAACATATACAAGGTGATTCATAAGTCCAGTGATAGGAAAATAATTGTTTGTTTAATGACTTGAGGTGTTGTGGCCCATCCTGTGTGATAATATTATTGATGTCGATTTTATTAATATGCATCATAATCCTGCAATGACAGTGGCATAGGTGTAGACAATAACAAATGGAACAATGAGTTGTACCACATTAGATCAAAATTTGACCATAGAAAATGTTGTTACACAAACCTAGATATTGGATTCAAAGTCAGAATATTGCATAATCAGGTCATTGCTTCTTTGAAGGATCTAAAAAAAATAAAAAATATTGAAATGTCATCATATGATAGAAATATATGTCTGCACCTGCATATTGCAGATTTATTTGCATATAAATACTGTATGGGCAGACTAAGAACAACTCATATTTAGAAAGGAGCCCCCATATTATCATTTGTCACACAAAACTATCTTACCAGTGACTACAGTATTACTTATCATAGTAATATTAGTAAAACATCTATTGTTAAGATGCTGAACAAAAACATGTTTCCTCCATCTTATATTCACCTCTTTCTATGGTTTCATGAAGAGGGTTATGAAAGGCATTATGATATGTGCAGTGAGTTTCTAATATGAATGAAGAAGGATCCAATGTTATCTGTACAGATAAAGCCAGTTTTAGTCACAATGGAGTTGTAGACATTCATAATGACATACACCAATCTATATTCACTTGGGGAACCTGCTCACCAGGTAAAGTGGAGTATAAATCTGTACTTTTGTATATGGGATAACAACTAATTGGATCTTTGTTCCTCTACCTTTATATCTGAAATATTTGCCTATAAATGGAACTTACAAATCACCTGGCATATTGTTTGTACAGTACTGTTAATGTCAGAAATTCCTAAATCCTCAGTCTCTCTATTTTCAGAGATGTTTTGTAGCACTTGGTAATGGACTCACAATCCACCTGTTTGTATTTTGTCTTCACAACCATACTATTTTTCTCATTTTAGTAAAATTCCACCCCCAACCCCCACAGTAGATCAGTAGTAAGTCTGAAATCTTATAACGCTACAAACTGGGTTTTAATACTGTGCCATAGTGGGTACTGGGTACAACATAGATAATCCATTGTGTATCTTTATGCTTAACAACAACAAAAATCAACCAATAACTGTAATGTTTAATATAAAAAAAATAAAACTTTCATTTATGTAAAAAAAAGTTTTCTGACCATAGTTTTCTTGAATTGCAATAGTTAATGAAATTATTTTTAGTTATTTGAATACCTGTCAAAAGAAATGCCCTTTGAACTGTTTTAACTAGTCTCATTTAAGTGAATATCCTTTGTAAAAAAAGCACTTTTAACTCTAATATTTTTTTAAACTTTAGTAACTAAATTCATGCTTCCTACAGCCAAAATGGGAAATCAAAGAAAAAAAACCAAAGCAGCCTTGGCCTGCAGAAGGAGCTGTCCAATTCCAAAACTATAGCACAAGATATAGAGAAGGGTTGAACTTAGTTTTATGTGATATTAATCTCAGTATCAAAGCTGAAGAAAAGGTATGTCAAAGTAACAAAACACATTTTGCTTTAAGAGCTATTCATTACCACAAAAATTTAATTACATTTTATTCACACAAACAAAACCTGTTTTCAAAAGGTAGACCTTCCTTCTCCAAAGGAAATTAACAGAAAGTGTAAAGTATAAAAGTTGATGATATGATCTTCAGTGGCTTTATGTCAGCCCACCTCTTGCACTTTACATTTCCTGCACATTTGTAGTTCACCTCTGAAGAAGGAAGGTCCAAACTTCAAAAAGTTGCTTAGTTTTCTGTGGTTCTGGAGATGAGAATTTTACACTTTTCTAGAAGTATGGGGTGCTGGTTATTCTCACTGTGCAATCAGATACAAGACTCGGGTGGATTAGTTAGCTTACATCCACTTCTTGCTGAAATTCCCATGTGCTCGTGTGCACGTATTTGTAAGTGAATTGTAGTTTTACCAATATAGGTAGCTTTACAACTACCATAAGTGTATTTATATATGATCCACAAGCGCATTGGAATGGGTAGAGTAAGTATTATCTAAACAGAGTATATAATATATTTTCTGATTACTTCTGTCTTCACTCAGAAATTAAAAAAATTCATAACATATTACAAAGTAATGGTTATCCCCTTAATTCCTTACACTCTATCACATGAAAATTTTAAAAAATAAAATAGAACCTACCAAAAAGTTACACACTGTCTCAAAATATCCACTAGTTCTTATCATTCTTTTCATTGGCAAACAAAGTTTCGAACTCAAATATCAGATTAAAAAAATAATCAAATATATTACACTCAAATTAAGCTATGTTTAGTATTTATGCTAACATTTAGGATTAAAAATATGTTTAAAACCAAAGACACTACCCATTCCTATGTGCTCATAGGTCATATATAAATACATTTGTGGTAGCTATAAAGCCACCTACCTATATTGGTAAAACTACACATCACCTACAAATATGTGCTCACGAGCACATGGGAATTTCAGTAAGAAGCAGATGAAAGCTAAGTAATCCACCTGAGTGTTGTATTCGATTGCACAGTAAGAATAACAACCACACCATGCACAGTTTTGTTTTATGATTTCTCACTATCATTAATGTGTAGACACATATTAAACATGTAGAAGTACTTCAAAACTGGCTGTCTTAAATTTATTATTTATAATATAGATAGAATAATATTAAATTTTTTTTTGAAATGATACAACATCTCTTCACACAATTTAGCTATCTTTCCCATGCATCTGTCTTAGAACTTTTGCATGAACTCCCACCTATTCTCACAAGATTTCTCTTGAATTGCACTATTGTATAATGACATCATTATGCAGCAAAAGCCCTCCCCCAATAGGAGGGTGACACACCTCCATGAATTTGCATTTGAGAAATCCATTTTTCTCCTCGACACTCTGTTGACCAGATGTATTTGAATTTTCTAATCTGTGTTCAATTTCAGAGATTTGTATCATAAATGAAACTTTGATTTTCATTTCCCTTAGCTTATGTGTGGAAAGCTTTAATCATTATTACAAATTCTCAAAGGATGGTGATTTATAGTGGTCCAGAGTATGTAACATTGTTCACACTTATTTTTGTCGTTTGCTTTTGGAGGCTTGTTAGCTGTCAAAACCATTGAAGATCACCACGTTTTATGGGCCACCTTCTCCTGACCTGTTGGCTGAATTTCTTCTCAACAGTCGGAAATGATCTAATGGACTACATCCTTCATCTGATTTACTTTGAAAAGCAATTTATTATTCATGAGACAATCTTAACCTTTCAATCTCTTTCTGGGTTTCTCTCTCAGGTTTGTTCCTTTCCTTAACCTTTGCCTGTATTCTATATTATTAATTTCATTTTATTAATTACGATTATTGGGGTTTATCTTGTCATTTCTCCCTGCTAGTTACTAGGCTTTATGCTGTTTTCTTTCTCTTATAGCTCTTTTCTCATCCCCTTCACATGCATGTCTCATATGTCCTGATTTGTAGTCTTCCTTTCCTTTTCTAGATTCCCTGTCTTTGGTATTTATCTAGCCAGTATGGGGTTCATGTCTCTTACTTTTTCTTTTACTTCTGGTTCCCCATTTTCATCCTTTTTTCTCCACCCTTCTATATCCCCTTTCCTAATTCTGAGGCACTTCTATGCTTCTGATGGCTTCTGTAGCAATTTATTATTTTCTCTGCTTAGGTTGTTCCAGTTCTGCTTTATCCCTCTATAATTTGTTCTCCTACTTTCAGAACTCATTGGGTTGAGTTGTCTTCCTCTTTCCTGTACCTCTTTTTTTGTCTGGCTCCTATTATTTTCCTACATACCTTCTGTGGTGTTCCTTTTTCCCTGTTGAGTTTAACTGCTGTCATAAGACTTCTGTTCTCGATATTTTTCCTCTTTCTTGAACTTGTCCTTTACTTCTATTCCTCATCTAGATCATTCTTCTCAAATTCTCATTCTGGATACCAGGCCTTCCACTTTTACTCTCACTCCCTCTACCAGTACTGTAGTTTGTAACTCTTCTTATCAATGACTTTTAGCCATATATTGTTCTTTGGATACTTGTCTCCTCTCCAACTGTTGGTCTCAATTTCTGCTGACAGTCGTTTTTCTTTTCTTTACCTTGGTCTCTTTCCTTGCTCCTCTTCCCCTTTCCTTTTCACCTCCTTCTGTTCCCATCTACATTCTTTTTCACCCAGTCTGCAGTTGGTCATGGTCAATGTGTTGGACACCTTCCTACACGTTTTTCTCAGCCTGCCTTCCCATTGTTTTCTGTACTTCCTCTTCCTTTTTCATATTCTTCCTTTCCTTGCTCTTCCTTTCAACTCAATGTCAGCCTCTCTTATATTCCTTGACATTGTGTAGGCTTTTGCTTGCCAAATTCATGGCCTGGGGCTGGTGTTCTTTTTCTCAGACTATTTATTTCTGTTAGTCTATTCATGGATGTTTCCTCTTCTCCTACCTTCTTTCCTTTTCTATCGCTACTCAGTTGGAGGGGGAAATTATCCTTGGATCTACGTCATTTCCCACATCCATTAACCGTTTGGTATTTTTAGATTTTTCTTCTCTTGTCTCAACTGAGTTCAGCCTATCTTTTTCATCTGTGAGTTATGGCATTTTTAGCCACCAGGTTTTACACTTCCCACTCTCTGTCTACAAAACAAGTTCCTTTGTTTTTGGGGACTTTGGCTTCCCTAGTACCCCTCATTTCTTTGGGGAAAGCCTTACTATGGACCCATGTTTTTCATTCTTGGTATCCATTTTCCCCTTTGTGTGTATCTCCTGGAGTATTGTCTTAGTGATTAGATTGTCTAGAATAGTTCCTGCACTTGCTTACCATCTTTCACACAGGATCTCTCTCTTCTTTGATGCTTTCCTTCTCAAGTCCTATTGTTGGCACATTTTTGCCCAGCTCAGCCTTGGTTCACAGGAATTTTGACCTCCCCCCTTCTTTTCCTCAATCCCCCCCCTCTCTTGCTTCACACTCATGCATTCCTTTTTCATCAAAGCTTAGCTTCCCTCCTACTTGCACATGGAATTTGCCCATTCTGTCACCCATCAGGCTGGACTTTTCACTTTTGTGTTGCTCCTCTTGTCACATTCATGTCATACTTCTTTTGCCATTTTCTACCAGTGACTGTGAGTGGTCTCTTATCATCAGTCCTTCTAGCAGTCATCCTGTGACAACCTTTGTACCATTTTTCCTTGACTGTTCATCATTGACTTCTCAGTCTGCACCTGCACTGATTATTGGGAGGCCTTGTCCATGGCCTTTCTCTTTTTCCAGTACTACAAGGTTTTTTTCCACTGTCCTCGTCACTCTGTTCCACTCCTTCTTGTTTCTTCATCCTGTTCTTGCTGCTCCCATTAATGAGGTTTCCATGATGCAGTGCATGCCTCATTGGAACTGTTGGCTTCCTACCTTTTGTACCTGGCTTGTTTCCTCCTCCTCCTCACCTACTATTACTGCTGTTTTGGGTACCTATCCTGTGGTTGCTTCTCACACCGTCTTCTACCACATTTCTATATCCCTCTCTCCAGTCTGATATTTCTGTCCTCAGACTTTAACTACTTGAGAGGTTGTCCATACTTCTCTCCTATCTCCCTTCCTTCTGTCTCTTGCCTGTTGAACCATTCAGACCCAGATCAGCTTATATGACCTGTTGAGCTGTTCAGTGTGCCTATTCACAGACCTCCTTTGTTTCATAGACCCCTTTCCTTCTCCCCTTACTGGTTGGGTCTGTTAGCTCCTCTGGTAAGCATGTTTATCTTGAATTGGGTATGCTTGCAGACTATTTCACATTCAATTTCTCACTTTTCTTCTTCTCTTAAATCTCTTCTTTGCTGGAATCAGAATGAGCTCCTTCAAGCAGGCATGTGGACACTCTCCAAACATTATTTTTCTCTACATCTTTTGCCTATTTTATCTCCTGATGATTTTTGGCTTCTGCAGGAAGACATCCTGCTATCATCCCACCATCTTTGAGAATGATACATACTATTTCTCTTTCAAAGCCTTTTTTGCTTTCATAGACTTCCTCCAGGTGCCCGGTGGTGTCTCCAGGGTATAATTGTTTCCCCAAATCTGCATCGAGTCAGGATAACAGAAAGTGCTCATACCATCTGTCCTGGCTCTGTATATGCCTACTGTGACTTGAAGTATACCCATGGTATATCTCTATAATTTACCCTTTTTTTTGTCTGGTCTAAACTGTACCTATTCCATGGACTGTCATGGAAAAATCCAGCACTAGAGATATGTTATGCCTGCTTTCCTGGCTCATGCTTGCTGGCTTTTCAAAATAGGATTTCACAGTCATCCACTGCACTGTTTCCAGTAGAGGACCTTTCCTAACTGAAGGACTGATGGTGATATGAGCATTTTCTCTGGATCTCCCCACTGTGAAATCTCCCTCCCTTCTCATCAAGTGGAGCATGGAAAGCCCTTGCCATGTATAGTTCCTAGCTGTTTAGGTGGTAGACCATGGAGAACCCTCATCAATTGATCTCGTACGCTGGGGTGATATACAATTGAGTACCAATACAGTGGCAAGTGGGGTGGTAGTGACACTGTCAGTGTAGTGTAGGTCACCTCTCATATGGCTATACATATAACACATAGCGACTTGTGCTATCCTCCTCTGGCCTAAATCTGTTCAGTTCAGTTGAGGTGAGCACAAACTGTGATTTTATGCCCTTCTCCTGCAGCCAGTGTCTGTTCAGTAGAGTTGAGATGAGCATGTACTACAATACAGTCCTCCTCCTGCGGTCATGTCTGTTCAGTAGAGTTGAGGTAACCACACTGTACACTTGTACCCTTCTCCATTGAGCATTGTCTGTTCAGTTGAGTTGTGGTGAGCATACACTACTGTATGGTACCCACCTCCTGTGGCCAATATCTGTTTAATTGAGTCAACTTGAAGTGTGCACACACTATACCAATCTCTATGGCATGACTACTCTGCCCTCCTCCCACAGCTGGTATCAGTCCAACAGAATCTGATGGAAGAGTTGAAGAGAGCACAGTAGGTACAGTCTGAATGCACCTCAACCACACTACATGTATTGGCTCTGCAACCTCCCGTGTGCGAGTACTTGGATGACCATGTTCTTATTCTACCTATCCCTGTGACACATGGAGCTCATTTGCGTTTTCCTAACTTTCTTTTTGGGTAAAGAATGTACCCTGATCGAGATGAAATGTGGTCTCCCACAGGAATATGTACCTATCTGCAGCCCCTGTAATTGGATGTCACACTTCATGGATTTTCTTCCAGCACTTACTGAAGGAAGCTCATCTAAGCAAAACTATGCACTAGTCCTTTCACCACTTGAACATAGGATTCAAGCTAAACCATGTGCAGTAGGTGTGGAAAGTTAACATTTTCCTTTTCTAAAACCCTCCTATTGGTGGAGGACTTTTGCTGCAAAATGATGTCATTATGCAGTAGCTCAGTTCATGAGAAATTTCATGAGATTAGATGGGAGTTCATTAAAGGCTAGTGGCATGCAAATCCCCAAAGCAGATGTGTAAGAAAGATAGCTAAACTGTGTGAAGTAGTAAGTATCTATTGGAAATACATTTTTCAGGTAAGGAAAATGTTAATCTTATTTAGTCTTTAAATTTGAGCTTATAACTTTACCCTTCTCATTAATTAATTTTGTGATTGTTTTTACAATTTAGAGTAACTACTGCTTTCCCAAAATTAAAGTATAATTCTTCACTTACTACTGTAGTGTAGAAAACAAATTATAATTCTGCTTCTGGCAGTTGAATGCAGGTGTGCTGTATACAGTGTACAGCTCACAAAAATTCTGTACACATTTAAAGCAGCTGCAATCAAAGGGTGTCAGTGAGTGTGTTTGTGTACTCAGTATTCTTTTCTGCTTTTGAATGGAAGCATAACATAGATTGGTGTAAGATTAAGTTACTACATTTACTACACAAATAACACTATTCTTATTTTGTGAATCTGTACATTATATAAATGTTAAGTTACTAAAGTAAATTCAAGGTTGATGTAGTGGAAAGTTGATTAAATAAAATAAATTTAATAAATAGCAATATTAAATATACGTATCACTCTGTAGCATCCTGTGCTGTATCTTCAATACAAAATAAAATTTAATTCTTCTTGTTAGTTTTATAGTGATAAAAATGTTTACAATATGAAGGACTAAAGCAGCATAGCATCTAAATTTTTATTTCATTGATCATGAGAATTCAATAACTAAAGGTCAGTCTTGTAATGTTCTGCTAAACAAGTATCACATTTCTCAGCAACTTTTGATTTATTATAGCAGAAATATGATAGTGAAGTCACTTAGTAAATGACTTACAAAACCTCTTTTTTTCTCTCTTTGAGCTATTATACATAGGTTTATTGTTATCCTTTTTTGCTTCAGTGTAATATTCCTGCAGACCTAATATAACTTATTTTCTTCTCCTCACTTATTCTATAAACCACTTTTTTACCACAACCCAAAGAAAAAAAAAATGCACATACTGATAGCACAAAATAATTGTGAACGAGGTATATGCAGTTCTTCAGTTTAAACCACTCATCTGTTTTCTTCATGTTCAACCTGGATATAAGAATTTTTCATTTTAAATGAATGAGTATTTTCATTCATCTTTTTTGTTTTTAAATTGCCATTCATAATGTGAAACAAACTCAATTATTTCAGTTTCAAGTTTGAGAGTATATCATAATGAAATATTTCTGGCCTCTTTACTAAAGCTATTCAATGTAATTAAAGTGAATGTTAAATGCCACAGATATCTACTCAGTCATTTTTACAGTATAATTATTATTTTTTAATGTAATAATTTACTAGTGGAGGGATATTTATAATCTATCAAATAATTCAATTTATTTTTACTTTCTTTGTATTAAGTTTGAAAAATGTTTTGTGACAAGAAGTTAAAACTTTGAAGTGTTTGGTACATGTTACCTTAATTTAACTTTATCCAAAGTGAGAAAAGTTGAAATAAAACATGGTTGTAATTTATAAATTAAAAAAGGGCAATAAGATTTAAGTATATAACATTGCTAAGACAGAAACTATTCCTTACCCATCATAAAACTTCAATGCTTTCATTCATAAATCTTAATCATTTTTTAAATCTCTGCTTACTCTGAAATTTTTCAATTATAATATGTTGAATCTTTCATTTACTTACTTGGAAGTTCTAGATTTTATCAGTAATTAATAGCTCTACATCATAACTTCTAGGACACTAATGAATTTAAGTTCTGTTTTTCAAAGCTCTTGCCCTATTGAATTTACAAAACATGCTGTTAAAGGACCCAAAAGGTACCCAATTTTCTCTTACTTGGCAGCTTTATTCTATATTTTCCTCTTAAGAAAACTCATTTTTATTCTGTTTACAGGTGAATAATATATAAAGAATGCAGAATTTGGTCTGTTTAATGATTTTTTTCTTCACATACTGTAGACATTGTTAAAATTCTTAGGTTAGGTCTTCTGTTGATTATTAGGGCCTTCTGAAGAAGATAATTTTTTTCTACATCTACATATTGTCAAAAGCAGTCACATATATTTTTTAAAATTCTATTCTGTCATAAAGAATATATTTTTTTACTTCATTCAGGTTGGAATCGTGGGTAGAACAGGAGCTGGAAAGTCATCTATGACATTGGCTTTATTTAGAATAATTGAGCCAGCAGGGGGCAGTATAATCCTTGATGGTGTAGACATTTCCCAAATTGGTTTGCATGACTTACGTTCCATTCTAACTATAATACCCCAGGTTTGTTATGATAGTTCAGATGACATCACTTTAAGATGATAGAAATCATTTTGAAACAGTTAGTATTACTATAGGGAGAAAATAAATCTTTTATAACCCCAAATTTGTCTGCATTAAGAGTTAGTTTGTAGTCAGTGACAGTGTTAATTATACACATTTTATGAACAGCATCGAAATTACAGGAAATTGTGCATTATCCATTCAGAATTACAGCTCAATTTGACTACCCTCTAGTGCACACATTTTTGCTTGCCACTAGCCTTGAACTCCCACCTAAACCACATGATTTAGCTGCATATAAGCAATTTAAGAAATCCAACTCAATGGTGGATTATAAACAATACTTTGGAATGTAAAAATCAGTAACTGAATATTATCCAAATGTACTGAAGAAAAAAAAAAGTGTCTGAAATCAAGCACTAGGGCTTAACACTGTCATGCCAAATTTGAGAAATGAAGATTGGATTCAACTGCATAGAGGGAGTCAACTGCAACAGGAGAGTGTGTTGCACTCCTATTGGTGAAGGGTTGTAACATGCTAATTTGCATACTTAAACACAGCTGACCCACATGGTATACATGTGAAATTAAGTTGGGGTTTAAGGCTAATGGTGAGCAAAAAATTTGTGCACGACAGATCAGTTAAATTGAGAATAGCTGTAATTGTGAGAAGAGATAAGTGATCATATCGGAAAGTGAGATATTTGAATTATACTTTATTAAAGCTGTATTATAAAAATAAATAATTAGCAGTGGATAATCCTGTGTTCTTGAGAGTAGATAAAAATTTCATACAAGTTGTATCTAGTTTCAAATCAGCAATATTTGATAGATTTATATAAAATCAAAAAGGATGATACCAATATTTTATAGGTACATTACTTAAATTTTTTCTCAATGAATAAAATTAATCCTTTTTAAGTTTTCAAATTACTGCATTTTGAATGATAAGAAAGATTAAAACCAGAAGTTTTTATTGAAAATGATTTACTTTACATGTAGAAGCTGAACTATAATCATGGGTTTAACATTGAATTTTTAGGATCCTGTTTTATTTACTGGCACACTTAGAATGAACCTTGATCCTAGTAATACTTATACAGATGAAGAAGTATGGACCAGTTTGGAACTTGCTCATCTTAAGCCATTTGTTTGTTCTTTGGCTGATGGGATAAGATTTGTAGTTGCAGAGGGTGGAGATAATCTGAGGTATAGTTTAGTTTAGCATTATCTTTCAAAGTTTCATATACTTATTGATTTATGAAAAAAAGCATCCAATATGGATTATTGCTATGGATAGTACACTATAATCAAGAAAGGTAATATGTAATATGCTATATTGCATAAACACCCAAAATATCTAAGTATCAGTAGAACTTTAACACACAAAGAATATCTTTACTAAATGTGCTATCAATGTATCTCTACAAGGTTGGGAAAATAAGGATGTGAGTGATAGAGGGCTTTTCAAACTAAGTGCACTTTTTTGGATATAAAATTGTCTTAAGGTTTTAAACTTTGTGAATTAAGGTTTTTCCTTTTAATTTAGCCATTCTATCTCAATGTTAAAGGTTTCAGAGATCAGTATTTTTGTAAGACTGAAGTTATGTCAAAACTACATGGTTGGTTGTTAGTGCTATTCCTTGTAATTTTTTTTTGGTGACTTCATAAGAAAATCCCACTATTGTTTCTGATTTGTTTATCAAATCTGAAAATGGTCAGTAGAGATATTTGCCTAAGTTATAGTTGAATGATGCATATATACAGATATAATTGGTTTGATGCTAATTAGATTGTGTATTTTTAAACTATCATAAATTTTTATTGTTTTAGCTTCTGTGTTTTTAGGTTCTATTATAATTTCTTTGGGGATTTTATGTAGTTTTAAACAAAACTACTACTTTAGACACACAATAAAATAGGAAAAAGAAGCAATAATAAACTTCCTAAATTTAAACATCACACAACTTCACAACACATTCACCATAATAATGCACAGAAAGAACTCTAACAATAGAACATACATCAACTGGCAATAAGCACATGTCATCAATAAAAAATAGGTACACTAAAAGACTTATACAACATTACCCTCTATCTTTATTCACCTAAAGAATAGAAGATTGACTAAATTAAATTCAACTTGTTTGAAAAGCTTAAACACTCTTTTAGTCATTGGTAAATCACTAAAAGGAGCAAGATATAAATAACACTCACCAACAACATACAAGACAATAAAGAAAAAAGAAGTGAAAAATAACCAAATCATAGTAATTATTCCATACACAGGAAAAAAGCTTATTAGAATTTGTAAACTCACAAAAAGAAATAGATATTGAAACAAAATTCATACAAAAACTTGAACTAAAAGGATTTACTGAACAAATTTTACAATAGTGAAGACTCCATATACAGATCTATTTACCAAATTAACTGTGAAAATTGTGAACAAATATACATATATATTTCAGTGAAACTAGTAGAAATTTAACAATACGATTTAATGAATATGTAAAAAGATCATCACATGTAAATAAATACATAAAAACTTAACCACTAAATAAGCAACTATAACATAAAGATATTGGGTAAAGAACAAGACTTACACAAAGGAAAAGTTAATAATGAATTATCAATAAAAATATAGAAACCTAACATAAAATGTTTACAAAGGATGTCCCCTTTACCTTTATTTGAATGTCTTTCTGTCACACAGTGGCTTCTGTTTAAACAGTTTGAAAGCTAATGTACATTCTATTCTCTTTAATCAACTGAGGAAGCTTTGCAGAATAAGTGAAACATTTGTTTATGAATTCTTTTCATTTACCCAAGAGAAGCTGAAGTTTTATATGTAAATGTTACCATAAATTGTGAAAACCTCCTGTACTAGATATGAAGATTTTCTACAAAATGTCATATGTCCATTGAAATTGGATCACATTTTGTTATGCTTAAAATGTTGACAACCCCTGGCTATAAATTACTCTAGACCAATAATGACGTGAGTCTTATCAATCATTCTAGAACCCATGAGAAACACGCCACTAGTATATAAACAATTAAGAGGCCACATGACATGCCATTTCTGAATAGTATTTGTTTGTGTGTGCACTTTGACATTATTTTCTTTACAATATTATGGCAACAAGAGGTTGTGTAAATGACCAAGAATATTCTGTTATATTTGTGGTAAGTTTGATCTATGCAAGTTTTTTTTCTTCCTGATTTGTAAAAAATCCTTATGTGACAGAAAAAAAAATATTATTTTTGAAATCTGCATAGCTGAATTATGGAAAATCCATTATTAAAACCAGAACAACTTTTATGAAGTTTAAATTTGCAGGCCTGTGTTATTAGTAGCTCTTCAGAAACTGGATAGAGTTGTAAATCCAAAATATTGTACTATTTAAATAACAATTTCTTTTGATAATAATATATCTGATACTACTCTAATAAACTTTCTCAAATTTTATACTATTTAGGTAACAATTTCTCTTGATAATAATATATCTGATACTACTCTACTAAACTTTTTCATATTTTATACTATTTAGGTAACAATTTCTCTTGATAATAATATATCTGATACTACTCTACTACACTTTCTCATATTTTGTGCTATTTAAGTAACAATTTCTCTTGATAATAATATATCTGATGCTACTATACTAAACGTTCTCATATTTTATACTACTTAAGTAACAATTTCTCTTCATAATAATATATCTGATGCTACTCTACTAAACTTTCTCATATTTTATACTATTTTGGTAACAATTTCTCTTGATAATAATATATCTAATACTACTCTACTACTTTCTCATGTTTCGTAAGTTTCTGAAAGAAAAACTGTAAATAAGCAAGACTTGATTCCAGAGCCTTGACATCTGGGTAGATGCTCTTAAATCACCAGAGTTACAAAGTTTTAAACATCATAAATCCCTGCTTTAAGTATATTTTTGTTTGTTTTCTGAGTAAAGTAATAAGCAAGATTCAAAAATCATGATAATCAACCAATAGTGCCCAGAACTGGCAGGAATGATGTTTTTTTTCTCCATCTCCATAAAAATTAGAAATTGTGCACTTTATTTAATAAAGTTTTGAAAGAATTGTTCCAATGATTAGGGTTAGTAATCTTTATAAATTCCTTTTGTAGTGTGGGTCAAAGACAACTGTTGTGTCTAGCTCGAGCATTACTAAGAAAGACAAAAGTCTTAGTTTTGGATGAAGCCACTGCTGCCGTGGACTTGGAAACAGACAAATTAATCCAGAACACAATAAAGACTGAATTTAGTGAGTGTACAGTCATTACCATTGCTCACAGATTACACACCATCTTGGATTATGACAGGTAAAGTTCAATGGTTTTCTTTGTCCTACAATAGGCTATCTACACTTTGTTCACCACGGGGAGTAGAACCCCAGATTTTAGTTTTATAAGTTAGTAAGCTTACTGCTGGCCCACTGGGGAACTCAATGGTTTTAAATGTAATGTATACACTTTAAATTTTTCCATAAAGGCACGATCATTTTGACTGATCGTGCAATGACTAGGTAACTATGAAAGCATCCATGCTAAAACTTGTAATATGGTATGTATATCTTATGAATTTTGGCAGATTTTTAGTAAACATTACAAGTCTTTTGTACACACAAAACACATTTTTTTTTACATTTTAGTTACTTTTATAAGAATAAATAAAAAATAATGTAAGAAACAAGAAATTTAGTAATTATTTTTGGCCTGCTGATGAAAGTTAAGCCTACTTTTTT